TTTCAGGGCATGTCACGCGTGAAAAAAGGAAAATACCAAGTGTGGAAATAGGTTGTCTGAACAACTTCCCTTCACTGGCAGAGCAGTGCGCCCTTCAGACTGACGGAAACATCTCCTTCGAGACCCGTCTGTCTCAGGATGCCAACAAGCATGGCACGATACTCCTAACCTATAAACAACCAGACAACTTGAGAGACAAGTTATTTACTAAATTAAATTAACGGTGAGTGAAAAAGAGACACACTGAATTAGCAGTGCACCTGCCGCTATTCACTCTGGTCTTAGCCGGAGATACGGAATAATTTCCGACAGGCTCTTTTCCAGGATCTTGGAGACAGAGCTCAACAATTTCTTTAAACACGAACGCTAGCAATTTCAAGTTGAAGCGAGTTTGGACAAATTTACAGTTCTAGTCACCAATGGTTGGACATTGAGGGTGGGGGAGGGGGGGGGCTCTAGCAGAGGGGGTTGGGGTCTCCCTCTTTGCGGAGCAGGGCTTGCCTGGTTCAGTATCTGGCGTCGGATCACTTTGATGGTTGTCAGAAATCATGAATCTGTCCTTTCGGGGCAGAATGCTCCTGCTGCGGCTTCACTAGTGTGTCAGTTGTGATTGACAAGCAAGGAAGATTGCCGAGAAATCCTTTTTTGTATTTTTTAGATAGTTAATTATTGATGACGAGATAATAGTATCAGTTATTCCCACCTCTCTGCATTATTCATGGTAATTTGATCACTTCAGCACTGATTAGTGACCTTTAGCTTGTAGCGGCACTACCTTTAGCCAGCTGTGCTGTGTGTTTTGCACTGATATTGGCAGTCCAAAAGTCTGTATTGGCATAATATTAGTGGCACCCTGCCAGGTTTACTGCAGCCTTTGAGAGAGGTCTTCATAATGGTTCTGTGCCGCTGTGCCTCTGTGCTTGCTACTGTATGTCAATAATGGCCATGTTCATCTCATGTTCTTTTTTTCTACATGTTATACTTTGCATTGGCTGGTTATCTCCGTTTAACATCATTAGCTTTGAGATTTACCTTGTGGACGCGCTGGTCACATGACTCTGGGGAAGGAACTTATTTCCTTGTAAAGATTTCAGTTGCGCAGCAGTCAGCAGGTTAATACCATGTTTACTGTTTTGCACTGTGTGCATTAGTTATTGATAGTTTGTGAAATTCAAACAGGCACGGCATGCATAGACATCAATAGACGGCACATGGAAAATGTTGTTAGACTCAAAACAGCACTGTCGTTGGATACACATTTGTTCTTCGCAGCATACACAAATGTCAGTGCTACCATAAATCCATGCAGAATTGGAAGTTGTTTTTTCCATTTCTCAGAAGGTTAACAGTACTGCCTCCTTTGTAATGTAAGCCCCATGTCAAACCATGCGGTTGTTTCAGCACTGCTGAATGAATAGGGCCGCTATCAAAGAGGACAGAATTACATTTTCTCCCTGTGTGTAGTCAGACTTTATCGGTGGCTCGTGTGTAGGCTTTACTGTCTCTGTGTCTGTTTGCTGTGAGGTAAACACAGGTCTGTATGTCAGCGTCGGTAGTTTCTGTAAAGTGTGTAAAGATTTTAGGTATGCCAGCCTCTCATAAAAGGACTTTATTGTTTTAATGCTTATGGACTTTAAACTTTTCCGTTAGTGGATTCTGAACAATGCACATTGTCAGAAAGTAGCAGTTGGCTTTAGATCCACTAGTCGCTACGCAGGTGTTGAAATGAAAGGAAATAGATACATATGGACAAACACATGGCCTGTACTTGTGGGGAACAGCTTGCAGTGACGCCAGCAGTTATGGGGTTGTGGTTGGAATGAAATTACACAGAAATATCATGAACACACTCTCTTAACAGTGTATTTAATTGAAAAATGGTTCCAGTAGACAAAATCCAATTTAACAAAAGAGCATAGAAGGCTTACAGAAGCTACATAGTGCTTTCTCTCAATGACCCTCAGTAGTTATCTGCTGACAAAGATCCACTGTAGTAACTGTGTCTCTTCAGACAGAAGGTCTCCACATGATATGGATAATATTATGTTTTATGTTCATGAGGATAGATTTACTCTTTAGGGTTTAAAAGAGAGCAGCGTATCACCTAACCGTTATATTTCTCATCTTTCATGCAAATGGAAACCTCACCACCCTTGTCGCCATCACATGTTCACTCCAGTAAACAAGCACATGAAGCTATTCTCACACGAAGTACAGTAGGTTGGTTCAGATGCAAAATCCTGGAACCCTGGAGAACTGCTGCAGTGCATTACATATGCTGCAGTCAGCTCAGGCTATTTCTGTTGCCTCCAGTCAGCCGGCCAAGAGGCAGCCCTGCCCATTTCGGACCAGCCCTGCAGGTTAATCCACTGGGGCCTTGTCGTCTTAATCATATTTCTGGACTCTCATTTTAAGTACATTTAGCTCTACCCAGGCACTATGGATTCATTGCAATCTGGCACATATAGTTAACAAGAAAGATAATGAATTAACAGAAACATGGCAAGTCAAAGGAACAAAGGGAGAAAGGTTAGCTTCATTGTTCTGCAGTAGATTGACCTTCACTGAGAGCTTATTTACGCACTCCTTTTTCACATTATTGCTTACCTTTGCCAAAAAGAAAATGATGTTCTATTTGAGTTCAAGAACATATTATACAATATACACAGGTGGGAAATCCCCCAGTGCAAGAGCACTACTGTATTCATTTGTCTTCTAGATGTATGACTTTAGCTAACATACTAATACTAATGCAGTGTGTACAGGAGCCTGATAAATGGTTAGTATGCTTACAGCATTCTTCATCAGTAAAGATTTTAATTACTGCCCAGAATTGCTGACCAATGCACATTTTATGGTTTATGGGTTACTCTTATAGCGGCGGTGTTGGCTAGGGCAACAGTGAAACCCCAGAAATACAGCAGACAATGAAATGTTTGGTGCATGGGATTACGTTTCATAGGTTAAAATCTATGAGATAGGAACTACGGGAAAGCTGTACAGTGTCTTTGCAAATTAGAGTCCATCTGGAAATAGCCTGAATATTGAAAAACATTTAAAATGGTTGGTTTTGTCCAGTTAAGCAAACAAATAACGCTTTGTCTTTAACCCATAGGCATCGGACAGAAACAGGAGCTGTGCAGGGGCAGTGGGTAAGACGAAAAGAAGAAAAGGATCAGGAGCTGTTTAAAAATGGCATTATGCTCATTTAGCTAAACTGTTTCCAGGTGTTGTGCTATGCTGCGCTTCGCTATGCTGCCTTCTAATAGACATGTGCACAGGCTGAGACTGAAGGAGCAATCCACTAATTTGATGGATGGGAATAGGATAAACTGTGAACTGAGAAAGTCCAGAAGGAAAGAGTGGGGAGACTAATGAAAAAATGCATGCCGTGGAACGTTGTGCAGAGCCGCGTGTGACCAGAAACTATAGAGAAAATAATTGTTTAACAACAACAATATTGCTATAAATTAGTTTGTGAATAAACCAATTAAAATCAAATGAAATTGTGTTTTTGGAGGCCCAGTAAATTGCCGGATAATGTTGTAAGAGCACAGTATCACATTAAGAAGGGAGTATTACATGTTGAGGAATTCGGGACTGATTTTGTGCCACTGATAAGACAGACTGCAACACGATGTCTCGAGTTAACGCACTCTTATTTCTCTTCTCTTAGAAGGCTATCAGTCGATTTCCCCATCATTATCATTAGTTCAAGATGTGCCACGTAATTAAATGCTGTATTAATACAGATTAATTTCATTCACCCACTGTTAGAAATGTGTATTTACAGGGAGAGGAGAGCGAGACGACGGGAGAGAACAGGAGCCGGAGAGGAGGGTTAATTGCTAGAGGAGAACTGGGGAGCAGAATGTGAGGGAGACGAGCAAGTGTATGTGATCAAGTCGAGACTGTGTTTATTAGCAGAGGAAGAAAAAGGATGAGAGTGTAAACAAAGGAGCTGGAGACGGAGGGAAGGGGGAGATGAATAGATGCGGGAGGGTGGGATGGGGCGGGAAGACTATTAGAAGGATGGAGGGATAGATAGATGAACAAATACGTGGAATGGATGTGTACAGAGACACTGACTTCTGCCTCACGCTGATACCACAGACTGAATTGATGTGATACCTCTCTCTCTCTCTCTCTCGTCTGTGGGAATTCTCTGACCCAGTTAGCTCCTCCACCAGGCAGCAGCAGAGTTATTTTTACATATTAACAGGAGACAATAGTTTGTCCTCTGCGCGTCCTCCCCTCATCCTTATGCTTCCTTCCGCTCTTCTCCCCCTCCATCTTTGCTGTTCCCAATCCTTTCCTCTCCTACCGTCCCGTGCTTCTTCCCTCCCTTTTTCTATATTCGTCTCTACTGGCTTTGATCGTTTGTCCTCCTTTAGGGATTTAAAGGTTCATCAACTCCATGCTTTGTCTGGTTCAGTACTGTCACAATAAGTTCTGCAGAATCACAGACAAACAAAAGCAAATCATAAAATGAATTTTGATGACAGGTTTTTAAATATAATATATTATAAATAAATATAAAATATAAGAATTAAGATTATAAATTTGGGGCTTGACTTTATTTGGGGTTGTCATACGTGGTGCAGTGTGGCTAATTCTCTGTTATAACTAGAAAAATGCAAATGCACATGCAGTATGATCTAACATAACATATAAGAAGATATACCTGTCTTAACACAGGAGCTACTTTAGGTGATGAAATGGTTTTAAAACGCTTTCAGACATTTTTCAGTTCCCCC